GTCTGTATTAACCCAGGTTCCTGAGGGCTGGGCAGGGTTGGGCGCTGGCAGCCAGGTCCCCCAAGGGCTGTGTGTGGGAGAGTGGGCTGTTCAGGAGCTTGGGGCTTATGGTGTGGGAGGGGTTGGGGGTAACGTGAGCATCCACAGCACACTGGGGGGTAGCAGCTGCATGAGGGCCGGGACCCCCATCCACTTCAGGCCCACAAGCCAGCTCTGGGCAGGCTCCCCAGGACGTGTTGCTGCTGGCTGTGGGAGTTCCTACAGCTTCCTCCTCAGCCACTGTTCCTGGCCACCATTTGAGGGGGGTACTGGGCCTCGGTTCTGATCCAGCACAAAAATCCCCATGCCCTAGAAAGCTGGGTTGAGACCCGAGACCCCCGTCACACCAGCGATCCTCTCTTGAAGCTCTTAGCAGGGTGATTTTCCTTAGTGAATGTCGCCAGCTAGACTGTCCTAGGTGGAGATGGAAGCTCTCTTGCTGTGGCCCCTTCTAGCTCGGTCTCCTTCCAGGCACCTGCACAGGGGAGGCCAGAGTTGGTTCTAGTGGCATGGGACATGCCCCTCTAGGAGCTGGGCTGTGAGCCCCGGGCCTCGCCCAGCAGCTGCATGATGGCTTCAGGCAGGACGCTGCGGCTCAGCAGGGGTACCCTCTTTCCTGAGCCAGCTGGGGTTAATAGCAGCCAACCTGGGAGCTGGTGTTGGACTGCCGTGCCCTGGGGCACGGGTGGTAAGGGGATCTGCTGGGCGTGTAGGGATCAGGGCCAAGTGACATGCTCATGGAGCCACATGCTCGTGGCTGGTCGCACTCCCAGGTGAGCACTTGAGAATGGCCTGTCCTGTCAGAGCCGGAGGAGGGATTTCCCCAAATGGCAGCCTAGCGCCCCATCAGCCAGAGGGGCCGTCTCCCCTCAGCCAGCTGGGTGGGGGAGGGAGTCAGCTGCTGCCCCTCCCCCCTGCTTCGTGCCCTGTAACCTCTTGTGTGCCAGGTTCAGTGATGGGTTCAAGCATAATATGACTGGGATTGAGAGAAAACCTAGGGCTGGGGGAGGAGGAAACTGGATGCCTTCGACAGAGGGGATACTGGGATGGGGGAGGGGGGAGCGGGCGGGCGGTGTCCAGCCCAGCCAGTCCATTCAACTGTGTCTTGGTCTGCTGGTGGCTGTGCAGGGACATGTGTCCCCAGTGATATGCTGGCACCTTCTTTCAGACTTAGCCGGCCGAGACACTTGCTGCCAGACAGCTGGTCTCCAGGCGCTGTGTCATGGTGGTATGGGTTGGGGGCACTGCTGCCGCCTCCACCCAAGGAAATCATCTTCCCCCATCCCCAGCTTGGATTGGCGAGCAGGTGGGGAGGCAGGTAGAGGAGCTGAATGTCATCGCTGGGAGGGAGGAGGAGGAATGGGGGTTTATGTGGATTTTGTTGGCGATGGATGGGTAGGGTTGCCAACTTTCTATTTGCAGAAAACCGAACACCCTTGCCCTGTTTCTGAGGCCCCACCCCTGCTCACTCCATCCCCCCCTCCCTCCATTGCTCACTCTCTCCTACACTCCCTCATTTTCACTAGGCTGGGGCAGAGGTGCGGGAGGGAGCGAGGGGGTTGGGGTGCAGGAGGGGTCTTTGGGCTGGGGCAAGGCGTTGGGGCACGAGAGGGGCTGCAGCTCCGGCTGGGAGTGTGGGCTCTGGGCTGGGGTTGAGGCGGTCGGAGTATGGGAGGGGACTCTTGAGTTCGAGTTTAGATGCAGGAAGGGGCTCAGGGCTAGGGCAGGGGGTTGGGGCACAGGAGGGGGTGAGAGGTGTGGGCTGCGGGTGGTGCTGCTAGTCTCAGGCAGCTCCCAGAAAGTGTCCGGCATCTCCCTCTGGCTCCTAGGTGGAGGCGCAGCCCAGCAGCTCCATGCGTTGCCCCTGCCTGCAGGCGCGGCCCCCACATTTCCCATTGTCCTCAGTTCCCGGCCAATGGGAGCTGCAGAGCTAGCGCTCAGGGCGGGGGCAGCGCATGGAGCTCCCATGGCCGCACCTATGCCTAGGAGCCAGAAGGAGATGCCGGCCGCTTCCCAGGAGCTGCGCGGAGCCGGGCAGGCACCCTGCCCACCCCGCTGCAGGTGACCAACTGGACTTTTAATGGCCTGGTCAGCAATGCTGACCGGAGCTGTCAGGGCCCCTTTTCGACCGGGCATTCTGGTTGAAAACAGGACACCTGGAAACCCTATGAATGGGGATGTAGGGGTGAAGGGAGGGGTTGGCAGCAGGGAGGCTGTCACCTGGAGGCCTTCAGGCCCTGACTCCCGCAATGACTTTCCAGCCCCCACAATATATGCACCACCCTGCTCCCTACCTTAAAGGGTCCTGGTGGGACATCTCCATGGACATGGTGTGTTCCAAGCTCTGGCCTTGTGGCCCTGGCACCCCCATCGTTTGGCGAACTCCCAATCCCATGAGACCTCTATCCTGCAGTAGCTGGGCCTGGGGCTCCCCTCGAAGGCAGGAGGGGTGCCAGGGGGGCGCGGTGAGGGCTGGACAGCTGGATGTGTTGAAACGGGTTCCCTGCGTCACTGGCCAGGGTACTGGGGCATCCCCAGAAATCAAGGGCCTGGCCGCCCCACACCCCTCTGTGCGCGGGTGAGCGCAGCGCCCGGCCCATCTGGGTTGTCTTGGATCTGTGCCTAGGTTGAAGATGGGGGTAAGGCGGCCCTGTCCCGCAAGATGCGGACCGGGGACGAGCTGGTGAACATCAACGGCACCCCGCTGTACGGCTCCCGGCAGGAGGCGCTCGTCCTCATCAAGGGCTCCTATCGCACGCTGAAGATGATTGTGAGGAGGTAGGAGAGCGGGGCCCTGGCTGGTCTGTCCTAACATGGAGAGTGGGTGAATTGTCCTAGAGCCAGCACTGCTGGGGGTCTCCAGGCCCCAGGGAGGGCCCCACCCTGTGGGCAGAGGGGAGAACCGTAGGAGAATCCAGGTGGCAGCAGTGTAAGGAGGGGTCCCCCCCCGCCCCAGAGATGCTGGGGGGCAGCGAGGGGCTGAGCTGACTGGGCCCCGGGTTGGTATGTCTGGGTGCTGCGAGGCCCCGTCCGGCCCAGTCAGGGGAGAGAACAGAGCAGAGGCGTTTCCCCAGCAGCCCCAGCCCCCTGGCACTCACTGCCCAGAGTTAGGGCTCCAGGCTAGAGGCTGCATCTGGGGATGGCTAGGAGCATGTGGCTGGGGGCCGGGTGTGTGCCTGGCTCACTGCCTTGCTGTACAGGGGGGGCCATGGGACCCTATCTCCCTTCTCTGCCAGCCCCCGCCAGGCCACCTCACCTGGGGATTGGGGAGGAGATGCTCTGAGCAGGGCTGTCCCAGCCGGTGAGGGCAGGGGGTTGGGGGAAACTGTGGGGGGTGTGTGTGTGTTGGGCTTTCCCCATTCACAGAGGGGCAATGAGCCGGGTTACCTCTCTCCTGCACGTGGAGCTTCCTGGCCCCTGTTTGGTTCTACTGGGCCCCCCCCCACAGCAGGCCCAGGCTCCCCTGCTAGCTGGGAGCAGCTCAGAAACCCCTCACAACCCCCTCCCTGCTCAGCCTGTCTCTTTGGAGGCACCTGACCCCCAAACCCAGGGAGGAGGAGCAGTGGGGGTCGGACCCCCCCTTCCTCCAGCAGTCAGGTGTGTCTGTCTCCTCTCTGCTCTGAGAACCCTGGGGCTGACGCCCAGCACCACCTTATCTCCAGACCCCCAGTGCCCTGCCCCCTTTATCTCCTGATTATTTGGGGTGGGTGAGTCTAGCCGTGGGGGGTCTTATTGTCCTAATAGTGGCTGAGCTCTTGGGCAGGGGTCTGGGAAGCTGGGCAGGGCACCCCTGTTGCTGCGGAGCTGACAGCAGGCCCCCTGCCCCCCCACCCCCTGGGGCGCTGGCAAAAGTGTGAGGACTTGGGCGGAAGGTCTGGCTGGAGCCAGGGCCCTTTGCCCCTTTGGGCTTCCTGATGCCCCTGCCGGGAGGGAGGCAGCCTCGGTTGAGCTCCAGCAGCAAGCTCTGGTGTATGGGGGCACAGCTGGGTCTCTGCCTAGGCAGGGCTCTGGGCTGTGCAGCCCCAGGGAGCCCTAAAGCCTTTTGACTGTTTCAGCTTGCTCCTGCGATGCCAGATACCCAGGTGATGGGCCCCGGAAGAGGCTGGCCTGGGTGTGGATTCCCGTGTACTGGAGACCTAGGAAAGGCCCCTGCTCCTGGCTGTAAGGGGCCCTGGCTCAGTAGGGACACCCCACCCCCCCCCGGTTCCAGGCCTGGTGAGCCCCGACCAGGGACTGGGGAGGCATTGGCCTTGCTGTCCTATGGCGCTCCCAGCCTGAGCCGCTGCTGCCCTCTGGTGGCTGGAATGTGACTGTTTTCTACTGTTTAGAAGTGCCTGGACTGGAGGCGTGGGGCAGGACACAGCACAGTCTGTTGGCCCCAGAGCCCTGGCGTGGTGTCAGGGATGGCTCCTTGCTGAGCCCCAGACCCTCTCCCCTCCCCAGGGGGGCTACGCCCTGCCACTCCCAGGAGGGGTGGCTGCCCTGGGGCTGGCACCCAATCTCTGGCCCGAAGTCCGGGCCCGAAGCCTTTCCTGAGCACTGTGGCAGCCAGGCTCCTTGCTTGGGGAGAAGGAGCCCCTGGACTCGGGGTGGCCCATTGGCTTCTCCTGCCAGGGCCAGCGCAGCCAGGATCCCCATGCTCCATCCCTCGACCGCAGGCAGGGAGATAGCTGCAGAGGTGTGGCACTGGCTGGGAGGGGACGCCCCAAGGGACCCAGTATCTCTGACCACAGTGCCCCCTTGCCCCCCGAGGAACCATTTCCCTGGGCCAGAAGGTCTCCCCGATGAGCCCGGATCAGCCCGCAGAACCCGGCGCTTGCTGCGGCTGTGGGGCTGCTCAGTGCCAGTGACATGGGCTGGGGGCTCTTCCCAGGGAGCTTCACGTGGGGCTGGGGGATTGGGGGAGGGTGAAATGACCCTGGCCCCGAGCTCTGAGCTGAGCTGGCTTTCGAGGCTCCAGCCACGTTTCCTGCCCCCAGCCAGGGGCTCCCCTAACTCCCCTGGCCCTGCCACCCTCCCCAGAGCTGAGGCTGCAGGGCTGCCTGTTCCCCTTGATCTCTTCCAATCTCCACCCCCCTGTGACCGCCTTCTTACCAGGCTCTTCCCACGGCTTCCTGTGCGAGGGCAAGGGCCGGAGGTGGGGGGCGGCCAAGCCCAGCTGCTTCGGGCAGGGAAGCGGCTGCAGCTGTTGTGGTTTGTTTTGTTGCAATCAGCACTAGTGCTGGAGCGAGTCCCCAGGCAGAGCCCACAGCCTCCCCAACTCTGGCTGGGGTCTCCCTGGGACAGGGTGCTGGGTGCACCCTGACATCAGGGCCTGGCCGGCCTGCCTGGCCAGAAGGTGACCTGGCTTCTTCGTGCTGCCATGTGGGGCAGCCGTGGCCCCTCACAAATGGCTGCGGGAGATGTTGGCAAAGGCAGCCCCTGGGCATGCCAGCCAGAGATCCCTTCTCTAGCCCTGTGGCCCTTGGCATTGTGGGAAGCAGCTACTGTGAAGAGGAGGGGAGCACTAAGGCCATGCATAGGCCCTGCTCTCCCCTGCAGCTGGAAATGCTCCCTGATCCCCAGGACAGCCCGTCTCGGCCGAGAGCCTGTGGGTGCAGGGATGGTCCCCTTTCCTCCAGGGCGCTAATGACTCTTGGGATCTGAGTCCCTTGCGAGGAGCAGGGCAGGGGCCTGTCTGGGAGCCTGCTGGTCCCACTGACTCAGTGTGCCTAATGGGGCTCTTGGGCCAGCGGGGCTGGTGCTGGTGGCTCTGCTTGTGCCTGCTGTCCCATTTCCTCCTCATGGCTACTCACGGAGCCAGGAAGCCCTGGGATGCTCTCCAGCCCCAGCCAGCTCCCTCCCTGTTTTCTCTCCCATATGGCAGCGAATTCCTTGCTGTCCAGAGCTTATCTCCCCTGAACATCGCTTCCTCACTCCCTTCCTGGCTGCTGCGGGTGCCCGGGAGCAGGTAGACGATTGGCCGCTGGGCCTGGGGGTGGGGCTCTCCGGACCGGCAAAGACTCCCGGAGAGCACTGGGATCGGGGTCGGCAGCCACAGTGCTAGCAGAGGCTGCCCGGTGTGGCACAGCCAGCGAGCGAGGGCACCGTCTATGTGGTCTGACGTGGCACCCAGGCTCGTGGCTCCACAGCACGGGGGGGTTGGGCTGTGCTCCTGGGGGAGGCGTTAGGGGCAGCAGGTCGGCCACGAGGGACGCAACGCTCTAGTCTTTGGGGACACCCAGCCCAGATCTCTCTGGAATCCCGCATCCATGGTGAGTACGGGGCCTTGGGCTGGCAGGGCTCCACTGGCTCCTGGCACTGATGGCCCCTTACAGCCTATCTCTGGGGAGCAGCCTGGTTTGCCCTGGAGGGAGCCAGGCCCAGTGGGACATGGGGAAGGATGGATGCCCTGCTTCTTGGCTTATGCCTTGCCGAAGTTGGCAACTTCTGCCAGGAGACGTGGGGCACAGCTCGGGCTCCCCAGCACTGCTTGTCCTGTGGCTTTCAGACAGCTCTTCTCTGGGGCCCTGCATAGCACCTGCCCCCTCTCCCACTGGAGTGTGCCTGAATCCTGACAGAGCATCACCTCCTGTGACTCCCATGCTGAGCACACAGCTCTGCCGGTGCCCCGCACTCCCGATCTGCAGCCCCCTGCTAGCCCAGTCCTGGGCTCCACCCCAGCTCTGCCGGTGCCCCTCACTCCCAAACCACAGTCCCCTGCTAGCCCAGCCCTGGGCTCCTCTCTACACAGCTCTGCTGGTGCCCCTCAGTTCCGACCCATAGCCCCTGCTCTCCCAGCCCATGGCTCCACACACACACAGCTCTGCCAGAGCCCAGGCCCCCCCTCCACCACCCCTCTGTCCCAGTCCTGCCTCTCACAACACAGAAGCAGCTGGTCTTGCCCAGTCGTGGGACAGCTTCATGATGTAGCCAAGCCCCTAAGGTTCCTAATGGTTTTGAAGCCCATTTCACTCAATGCCAGTCTGGGTGGAGTCAGGGTCTCCTGAGAAGTGGCATGTTCCCCTGCACTGCACCCTGTCTTTCCAGGCCTGGCAAGGGGCTTGTGGCTCGCCCGTGGCCGGCTGCTGTAGTCATCTCTGCCTCCCCTCACAACTCAGGATGCAAACTGCAGGGCTCAGCAAGACCCCCTCTGATCTTGGTACTGCCCTCGACTGAGCAGCATGGGCACCTCGGCCTTATCCCCCGAGGTCTGCAGCTGGATGAGGGGCTGCCCTTGCAGATCAGACCAAAGGCAACGTCTGGGGCACGCAGCTGCTTGGAGAAGCCTAGACTGGGCGGCTGTTCCTGGAGGAGCCAGGAGCTCAGGGCCAGCACTGGGGCGCCAAGCCATGTGCCAGCAGTTGCTTGCTCAGTGCCAGCTAACAGTGGTGGTGCAGGGCTGTGCAGGGATGGGTCAGGGCATTCCAGGCTGGGCCCCCAGCCCCTGCGCTGCGGCACCATGTGGCCTGGCACAGCTTCCTGTGCCCATCCCTCACTGGGCTGGGCTGCCACAGGACTCATGTGGTGCCCTGTAGTGGAACAACTGAGCCTACCTTCTGGGCTTCCTGGGGGTGATTCTGACCTCCCCCCCACAGGCGCATGTCTCCCCGCAGGAGCGGGCAACTGTGCAGTCCTGCTGTGCTGGCCTGGCACCGACCCCACGGAGCCCATAAATCCTGGCATTATTGCCATGCTATCAGCACGCGGTCCCTGACCCCCACACAACAGCTTCCTCTATACTTCTCGTCCGGCACCGCCTGCACGTCAGCAACTCCGGGATTGGGATCCCAAATCCCTCGCCCCTGAGAGCAGGGAGATGGCTCTGCAGAGCCCACTTCTTCCCTGAGGGGCCGGGCTGGCCTGGCGTGAAGTCATTCTCCCCCTGGCTGCTCCCTCCTGCAGCATTTGTTAATAGCACCGCACGGCCCTGTGCTGGGAACCCGGCTGGTTCCCGCTCCCAGCCCTGTCCTTCTGGCGTCAGTTTCCCCTTGCTCCTGTTCATTGTGTCACACCGTGCTGGCCCCTGGTTTCTGTTCAGTCCAGCCTGGGCTGCTGGGCTTGTGCTGAACCAGGGTGTGATGCTGTCGTGTAGGGCTCTGGGACACTGAGCAGCTCCAAGGCTCTGCTCAGAGTCCCCTTCCCTCCCCCCGTGGGGCATTGTGCATGGCAGGCCCAGGGGCTGGGAAGGGGGATGAAAGCCAACTCAGCCAATGCATAGTTCATGCTGACTCTTCTGTCTCCTGCCAACCTGGCTCCTTCCCTCCATGCCACTTCGTCCCCCAGCACCGTGCCCTACCCCACGTGCTGTTGGGATACTCAGGCTGGGGCAGCAGTAACGTGCCATCGCAGGGAGTCTCTTGGCCTGGCTCTGGGAGCCTGGGGTCGAGTCCCACCATTGGCCTGTGAGTGCAGTGCAGGACCCTGTACTGCTGGTGGAGAGCTTGTGTGTGCAGCCAGGCCCAGCTAAAATGCCCCTATTTGCTCTGTGGGGGCAGGGTGCTACCAGTCTGGGTGCTCCTGTGGGTGGCAGTTTGGCTACCTACCCTGGTAGCCCAGTGGCAGTCAGAGGGCTCCCAGTCTCCCCATGGGATCACCCAAGGCTGTGAATTACTGGGGGGATTTGCCTGAGTTCTGCCTCCTGCTATCCAGAGCCAGGCCTGGGCTAGTGCTCTGTGGAGGTGGCTGGGATCTTTATTTAGGGCCCTGCCCTGGCTTCCTGGTATGAGCCCGACTTTCCAAGTTGTCCTACCTATTGGAGCAATGCCCATAGAGGGTGGGGGTGGGGCTGCCTGGATAATCCCCAGCACTCAGCCAGTGTGAGTCCAGCCCGCAGAAATCATGAGACTGGCTTAAAATGTAGGCGTTAGACCCGAAGCTGGTTCCTCCGTCTCCTGGCGTCTGAGCCTGGCGGAGCCCCTTCGCCAGCTTTTCTTCCCAGCCACCAGGGCTAGAAACCTGCTTTTTCAAAATCCCACACTGAGGGCCGAACATAATCCCATGACTCTGGGAGCTGGGGCTTGAGGATATCCCAGGCTTTGGGGTACTGTGCTGGAAAGGGAAGGTGCAGTGCGTGGGTAGAATGGGGACTGAAATTCTCATCACCCAAAGGGTGGGGGGGGCATTTATCCCAATAGCGCTAGCCCCTCCTCTGCCTGTTGGAATGTTGCGGAGGGAGGGGTCCCCCCCATTGTTTCAGTTGGTGGGGAGCAAATCCCTGGCCCTGCTGGCAGAGAGGCAGGAGTGGGGAGAGCCATGAGGGGCAGCCTGGAGAAAGGGCTTCCGTGCCCTGGATGGCTTTGTCTGCCTGGTGGGAGGCACCCACTTCCCACCCCCGAGTGCCAGCAGCTCCCAGCCCTTCGCTCAGAGGGACGGGAGCTCCCCCAGGATGGGGAGCGTGGGATGCCATCCTCTGGGCTGGGCAGACACAGGGTGAGAGAGGACGCCCCCAAAGACCCCAGTAAGCTAATGGGGAACTCCTCCGGGATGTCCCGTCCGTCCTGCTAAGGGAGCCTCTCTGTGGAGGACGGGACGGGAAGTTCTCCAGGAAGTGAGCTCAGCCCAATGCCTCAGCCTGGTTTCCTCTCCATTCTTGGCTCTGTGCTGCTCTTGGCAGGAGGAACGTGCCCGTCATCAGGCCCCACTCCTGGCACCTGGCCAAACTCTCCGAGGTCCGGACCGAGGCTGCCACCATGCACTGTCCCTCCGACACCTTCAGCTTGTCTTGGCACTCAGGATGTGACTCCAGGTGAGTCCCACAGCAGCTGGGGTGTAGCCCAGTGTGTGCCACTGGCTCTGCCTGCCTGGACTTGCTGCCCTGGGGCACCTGAGAGCCCTCTGGGTGGAGGAGCCCTGGCAGGTGCCTGGCTCTAAAATGCCCCCTTGCTGGAGCAATCCAGACCCAAGCTAGCTGCTCCCCACCTCTGGAGCCCCTGCCTTGGGCTGCCTCCGGCGCTGGGCCGGGGCCCAGCAATGGTCGCTTGGTTGCCAGCCAGGCATAGGTGGCTCCGGGTTGGCTGAGGCTGATTTTGAGCCTGGACTCATTTCTCTTCCCTGGAGGATTGCAGAGGGCAGAGTTAAGGCCAGCCATGCTCCCCAGAGCTGCCCAGGAGTGGGTCCCTTAGATGTGAGCTTTGCTCTCACCCTGGCCCTCGGGGTAATGCAACCCGTCTGTCACCGTTAGCCCTTCAGTTCCCTGGCTGAGCTCTGCCTTAGTGTTCTCTGTGCCTGGGCTGTGGGAAAAACATCCTTGTCCTGCTGCAACACAGAGGGCTCGGACCAGAGGGCCACATGGCCCCTGTGACACGCCATTAGCCAGCTCTCCAGAGCACGCTTTATCCCAGCATGAGTGCATGTCTCACCCTGGAATTTTCCACCTTGGGCTGGGTTGTCTCCAAGCCCAGCACGTTCTTCCCCTTGCTGGCCTGGCTGGCTGCTGCCCCGCCTTCCACTGGGGCCCTTTGGTACTGCCACAGGGCCCCCTAGGCCCGTTCTGACAGGAGGAGCTGCCCTGTTCCGTGGCTGTCTCCCTGTCTTCCCCGGGGATGGTTCCCCCCTTTTTCCAGCTCTGGTTTGTTCTGCTGAGCTCCGATTCCTGAGCAGGAAGGGTGGCAGGCCAGAGCCGGCTGCGTTGCGAGCACGGAGCTAACAAATCCCAGCTGTCTTGGCCAAGTGGGGGGCTGCGAATGCCACACTGCCCACAGTCCCAGAGGACAGGCGAGAGCATGCTGCGGGCACAGTGGATCCCCCCCCCTCCCCCTGCGGGCCAAATCCTGCCCTCGCTTATGTGCAGTAATTCTGGCTGCGACCCCTGTTGCCTCAGAATAGGAACTAGCATCCTGGGGCTGGGCAAAGGGCAGTGAGACGAGCGGAGCTGGAATGGGCAGATCACCTCTTCCGGGAGCATCACCTGGCTCTGCCCACCACTTAATCCACCGAACGGGGAGATACCTGATGCACGCAGCCCCTGCCCACGGTGGGGCCAGGGCAAGGCTGGAACCCACCGTCCCCAGCGGGGGCAGGCAGGAGGTCCCACCCCTTGTTGCACCAGCTTCTTGCCCCACTCCCCCCTGGGCCCCCTGTGCAGTGCCCACAGGGGAGCGACTCCTTCCTGACCATGGCAGGGGAGCTGCCCAGGAGCTTGCCAGTGTTGTGTGAGCTTGCAGAGCTGGGGTGTTTGAGGGGTGCACTGGGCCAAGGGGCATCTGGTCTATACCTGGCCTGTGAACGGCACCGTGCGGCACAGGCCGGGTTTCCTCTGCCCATGGCGCTGGGGGGGAGGGTGTTTGCCCGGTGCCTCTCACACTTGCTGTGTCTCTCTCCAGTGACCTGTCCCTGCAGTGGGCCCAGCTGTCTCGCCATTGCAGCACAGAGAAGAGCAGCTCCATTGGAAGCATGGAGAGCCTGGACCCGCCCAGTCAGACCTACTACGAGGGCAGCCTCTCGCCCGTGGACCAGAGCATGTACCAGAACAAACGTGACTCTGCCTACAGCTCCTTCTCAGCCAGCTCCAACACCTCGGACTATGCCCTGTCCCTGCGCCCCGAGGAGACCTCCTCCACAGACTCCATCCTCCAGGGCCTGGGCCCCAGCCGAGCCCACGAGGGGCGCTACCTGCAGACAGGCAGCGAGGGGGCGGATGTCTCCTGCCAGCTGTGTGGGCACCTGGCACCCAACTCCAGACCCTCCTCATGCCCCCACGAGAGCAACCTGTCAGGCTCCTCCAAATCAGGCGCCCCTCCCCAGCCCCCCGTCAGGAGGGACAGCCTCCGGGCCTCCAACCCCCAGCCAGCTGGCACCGAGCGACGCCGGGCCTCCGCGCCCGCCGATGTCCTGCACCTCCCAGGCAGGTGGACCTCGGACACCTTGCTGTGCCTGCGAGACAAGGAGCCCGAGGGGGTTGGAGGCCATCCGAAGGAGCGCCTGTCTGCTGACCAGTACTACATGCTGAGCTCCCACCTGGACATGGAGCAGCTGTTAGGGGAGAGCACAGAGCATCCCCATGGAGCTGCCCGTGGGCAGTGCCAGGACAACGGTGCCCACGAAGGAGAGCCAGGCACCAATGGTGACCCTCCCCCATCTCCTCGGAAGGGGCACCGGCACAGCGCCCCTGAGCAGCTGCTGGCATCCCAGCTGCACTCCCTGACTGTGGCCACAGGCAGCAGCTGCTGGGATACCCAGGTGCAGGATGGGCACCAATGGACTGTGAACCCGCTGCACTTGGAGCAGCCGTGCCCTGGCCGACAGACAGAGGATGCCAAAGAGCAGTTGTGTGGGGATCCAGCCATGGGCACAGACCGGGCTGACGACCACACGACGCAAGCCCAGCACTCCCCCAGCTGGGCCCAGGACTCCTGCCACAGCCAGGGGCCATACAGGTGTTACTCAGAGCTGGAGAGATCCTGCAGCACCCCCGGTGAGTCAGCCACACCTCCGCAGCCTGCTGGCCTGATCCCCACGTGCAGCTCCGAGGCACTGGTAGAGGAGGGGAAGGAGTCCGGGGAGAGCAGGCCATGTGCCAGGAAATTGGGCCCTTCTCATCAGCGATCGGCCCAGCTTCGGCGCCGGAGCGAGCGCTTCGCCACCAACCTGCGCAATGAGATCCAGAGGAGGAAGGCCCAGCTGCAGAAGAGCAAGGGCTCTGTGGCTCTGCTGTGCGGGGAGGAGCCAGTGGAGGAGACTGACGAGCCGTGTGAGAGCCCCCCTAATTCCTCAGCCCTGCCACAGGGCAGGCTGCCTAGCTCAGGCATGGCACAAGCCAGAGCCAGGTGCCTGAGCCCCACGTCGGGTGTGGCACCTGCTGGGAAACTTGGCAGGAGCCCCAGCCGCCCTGCTGACAGGAGTGCCCCCACCCCCCAGTCTGCACGGAAAGGCCCCAGCCCCCCTGCCCCCGACAGGGAGAAGCACCGGGCTCCGGCAGCTGGGGGCCGGTGGCGGTGGTCTCCAGAGCACAAGCTTCAGCGGGCCCTGAGCCCTGGGAAGGCGTACGCCAAGGGGCCGGAGGCGCCTGCCTCCCCGCTGCGCCTGGCGGAGGATGCTGACCTGCTGCCCTTTGCTGACCGGAGGAAGTTCTTTGAGGAGACCAGCAGGTGCATGGGGCGCCTCCCGGCCCGGCACAGCAAGCCCCCCAGCTTCCGGCCGAAGGCAGCCGAGCCGCACGCCTTTCAGCCACTGAGTGCTGAGTGCCGGGAGCTGCGGCGCCGTTCCGTGGACCAATCGTACCCACCCCTGTCGCCTGGGCGGCAGAATCTCCCCGCCTATGCTGAGTGCTGCCTGGAGCCGCCTGTGTGCTATGCCGGCCTCCCGCGGCATGCCGAGTTCGAGTACCTGCGGCCCTTTGCCCGGGCCTGTGCCGGGACGGCCCCACTGCGTTGCGAGCCCTGCCTCTACTGCTCCAGCGACATGTGCCCCACACTGCTGCAGAGGAACATGCAGCCCAGCCACCATGGCTACCGCTGCCACCCCCACCCCTGGGTGCCACGGTGCTCTGACTGCTGCTGCTCTGTTCCCCACAAGGCTCTGGAGGAGAGCGAGCCCTGGCCTGGGAGGAAGGCGTTCTTGCCGGTAAGAGATCCTCCCTGCAAGCAGTCTCTGGTGCCAGGTGGGCAGGCCCTGTGGCTGAGCCTGGCCCGGGTGAGTATCAGCTTGTGGAGAGGTGCAGGGGAAGGCTGTCGGGGATTTGTCTGTCTGTCCCTGGGGATGGGGAGCCAACCCTGCTTAAACACTGGGAGTTGCCGCCTCCTTCACCCTGCCTCACCCTGAGCCCTTTGCGCCATGCCAGCCACTGGCAGCAGGAGGCACCACTCCCCTCCCCTCCCAGGCTGTTTGAAGCTGTGGGGCAGGGGGTGTTGGAGCAGGGCAGGGGCAGAGTTCCTGGGAGGCAGTAGGGGACAGGGGAAAATGTGTATTGCGTGACTGCATTTGATCCCCAGTGGTTCCCCAGCTTAGGGAAGGGGGTCTGTCTGGCACATGCCCGGTGTGTGTGGGAGGAATTGGGTACCCCTTGCCTGTGACCTGCCCATCTCTGCCAGGACAGCGACTGGCATCCCCTGCCATTTGTGTTTAACTCAACCTTCTCCAGAAATGTGCCATGGGGACCCCCTTGCCCCCCGCCACACATGCCCCTGCCAAGCCTGGAGCAGGCAGCCGGTGTCCCTCTGGCACCCCTAAGTCCTGCTCCTACACTGGTGGAGAGGGGAGGGCGAGGAGTCAGGTTCCTCATGGCTGTGCCCCCCGGCCAGCAGATTGCTAGCTGCGGGCCAGGGCAGCGGGAGCCCAGGGAGGGAAGCGGTGGGTCTGAGCCAGGGCAGGATGGAGCTTTGTCTCTTCTGGCCTGGGGGCACAGCCAGGGAGCGTTAGCCAGGGGATTACTCACCAATGGTGATGCTGTGCCCATCAGCCCTTCCTCCTCCCACCCTGCCATGTGTCCCCATACCATTGGGGTGGCATGAGCGTGGGAGAGTGCTGCATGGCAGCCCATGTAGCCGCTGGGCACCTTGGCATTGCTGGCTGGAGAACAAAACTCGGGCACAAGAAGCATTGTGGTTGGTGTTTATTTCTGTTAAACCCAGTGCTGTCTGCAAACTAGAGCCTGAGAGAGCCGCAGCCTGGCATCAGGACGCTCACCGGGGGGGACCCCGGTTCAAGGGTGCCTGATTCAGAGCAGCCACTTGAACCCGGGTTTCCCATGTCCCAGGTGGGTGCCCCACCTGCCGGGCTGCTGGCTGTTCTGACCTCTCCCAGATTCCATCCCGGACCCCAGAGAGTTTCTGCCGCACGTTTTTCGTTTGGCTGAATCTGCCTTGTCTGACCCCCCCGCCCCTGCCAACCACCCATCCACGTGCCAGCTGGCACCATCCTGCCAGTGGCCTGTTTGTGGCCAAGCCCTGCTGTATCACACGTCCTTCCTGGGGGTGTCACGCTCTCCTGTCAGTGCAGGCTGCTGGGGGGAGGGATAGCTCAGTGGTTTGAGCATTGGCCTGCTAAACCCAGGGTTGTGAGTTCAATCCTTGAGGGGGCCATTTGGGATCTGGGGCAAAAATTGGGGATTGGTCCTGCTTTGAACAGGGGGTTGGACTAGATGACCTCCTGAGGTCCCTTCCAACCCTGATATTCTATGACATTGGTGTCCCTTGGCTGGGGGTGACTGGAGACAAGAGGGATGGGTGAGGGGGTGTCGTTTCCTGGCAGGGCCTCAGACCCCAAGGGGGCGGGTGTCCTGAGGGCTGGGTTGAGGCCCTGGTGCCTGCCCAGCTCTCCCGCTCATGCCCCGCCCAGCTCCATACCTGTCGGGCTCTGACAGGACCTGCTGCGCTTTGGTGGCCGGAGCTGCCTGCGTGAGCCAGTGCAAGCCCCAAAGCTCCACTGCCCAGGGAGCCTTCCCCAGTGCAGTCTCTCCACAACAGCTGGGAACCAGCCCTGCAGCCCAGCCCCACGGAGGGAGGGCAAACAGGCTCAGCAGGTTTGTGGCTCTACGGGAGGGCAGTGGGGGGTGGCAAGCGAGTGCTAAGCTGGCTGCCAGGACCATGCGTTTCCTTGCTGAGACTCTGCCCTGGTCTTTGGGACTGTGAGCGGAAAATAGCCCCTGTCCTGCTCCTGGGATGTGAGGGGTGGGGGGCAGTGGCTGGGCGGGGGCTGGAGAGCACCAGTGGGAGGGGCGGGTGGCTCGTCCTGGCCATCTCACTCCTCTGATTCTTGTTTGCAGGAATTTCCTCTGGAGGAGTGGGAGCCTGGGGTGATAAACAGGAAGGGCAGCCAGTCAGTGAGGTAAGGGCTGGGGGGGGGAGGGGGCAGGTTCCTACTTCGCAGGAGCCTTTGATGTGGGGCTGGGGTGTGGGGTCACCGATAAAATGGCCAGCCAGCGAAGGGGACAGAGGCTGCCTGTGACACTGGATCTCATGGAGAGCCCCGTGCACCCCGGATGGAGTCCCCAGCACTCAGCTCACCCAGACACTTTGCTGGGACACTGCCACTTCCAAGTGGTGGCCTGGTGGCTTGGGTTGGGCAGTGGCCCTGCCCTGCAGTACCTGCTCGGTTGGGCTATGGCAGGGGGCTGCTCCCATCACCCAGCCCAGGCTCCTACCTGCTCCCCCATCTGGGGTGCTGTTGATGGAGGAGAGGGGTCCCTCCTGGCCAGCGGGGAGCACCTGTGGTGGTTCAAGGCTTTGAAGGTGGACAAGGGGGTGAGAGCTCTGAGGAAGAAGCCCCAGAAAGTCCCGGGGTCCTGAGTTAGCAGCCCAGGCTGGGGGTATCATGTGCTGCAGGCCGTGGCGGGGGCCGCACAAAGGGTGGGGGTGTCTCCCAGCATGTTTTAGCTGTGCTGGAGCTGGGGCCATCCCCTGTGGTCCTGGTGTCAGGGCCCCAGCTGTGGGGAGTGGGTCGAGCTGAGCCTGGCGTGGAGGGGACATAGTCCAAGTGCAGGCTGGGGGGCCAGGCCAGGAGCAGCAGCCCATGCTAGTGCCATGTTGTAGGAGCAGGTTGAACTCAAGTCGATGAGTTGTGCCAGGCTGGAGCCAAGTGAGCCAGCTGAAGCAGGGTCAGTGGAGCTGAGACTGGGTGAGAGGGCAGGAGCGGAGCAGGGACCAAGGACATGGAGCAGGGCTGGGCCAGGAACCGGGAGCTAGGCAAGGGACCAGGCGTGCACAGCAGGGTCTGTTAGCAGCAGCAAGCCAGGGATCCTCCCAGCTGCACTGACAGCCTCCAGGTGTTTTTTCTTAAGCAGCGTGCCTGGGCCAATCCAGAGCACAGGAGGCTCCAGCAGCCAGCACCTCCCTGCACAGGACAGCCAGTGGGGCTTGCACTGTGGGGCTCAGAGGAAGCTGTTTCCTGCTTTGCTGGAGCTGTGAGGTGGCGGGGTGGACACCATAGCAGACCTGGCTTCCAAGCCCACAGATCCTCCCTGGATCGCCAGCTGGCCCATGGGAGTGACTGTGCCCGGGGAGCTGCTCTGCATGCAGTGCTAATGGCCAGGGCACAGGGTTGGCATCTGGGTCGTGCTGCTGCTGCCTCTCTCATGAACCCAACAACAAAGCTCTGGGCACACGGCCAGAGAAACCTGCAGCCTTGCTGCCAGCGCTGAAAGGCCCTTTTTAACCCCGGCCCAGCCGTCAGCCCCGAGGAGCCAGGAGGAGTCCATGTCTCCACGGACATGCTCTTACAATACAGAGGATCACCAGAGCCCAACTAGGGCCTCGCAGTTTCAGTGTCTGGGACAGGGAGGCAGCCTGCTGTTGGGGCTTCCCAGGGTGCTGCTTCTGCAGGAGGCCTGGGGATTCTGTCAGCAGGATTCCCTGCCAGGATAGCCGTTTGGTACAGCCCTGGCTGTGGTGATTTGTGGTGAGCTTCCACCCATCAAGGAGGTGCCTGAAGTGCTGTTTCCAGGCACATGAGCGCCAGTAAATCCCCACACTGAGCACATGAAGGCTGCACAGACAAGCAGGGAAACACTGAGAATGTTGTCATCTTGGGCCAAGATTTTCAAAAGGGCAATCCACAGCTTAGGGCCCCAAATCCTATTGAGGTGCCTGGGCCCAGATCCCCAGAGGTCCTTAGGCCCCTAACTCCCATTGACATCAATGGGAGTTGGTACCAAAATATCTGTGAGGATCTGGGCCCTGAATAACAGCTGATTTTCAAGAGTGCAGAGCACTGATCTGCTCCGTTAGCCTGGGTTCTGAAGAGCCTCCCAGGTACCCCTACAATGCAGATGATAGACTGTAATTCAGAAAGGCTGGCTAAAATCAGCCCTGGTATTGGGGAGTTAGATTATCCTAAGGGATTTAGGAGCAGGAGTCCCACTAAAAGTCTTGGTGCCGAACTCCGGAGGGGCTGAGTTTTAGGCATCTGTTGGTTTAAAATCTCAACCTAAATTTCCCAGATCTGATTTTGGTTTGGAAGCGAAATACCAAATGCTCGGCAGGCACTGTGGAAAGCCAAGCTAAGGCAAAGCAAACAGCCTGTCTTCTGCCCTGTGCCTCCTCCCACGTGGACCCTGCTAAGAGCCGAGGGCCAGGACTGAACCTTTCAAGTCATTTTCAACAGTTTGAAAGTAACAATGAAACATGCCCGGTCAGCGCTGGCTGTGAGCAAGGTTGTGGCCAGCCTAGCTCGCCTTGCAGCAGTTCTCACACAGGCACGCTTCGGGGCCCTGCAGATCTGCCTTAGTCGAACACAAGCCGCTGGTCTTGGTCCAGGAGAGTTGGCTGGAGATCTGTCTGGCCCTTCCACGCTGAGCTGTGTTTGGTGCAGCACATGGTGTGGTGGGTCAGTCCCTGTCCTGGGGTAGCCAGTTCTCTGTTGCATGCAGTGGACTAAGGAGAAGGGGGCAGGTTAGTGGGTGCAGCTGAGAGGTGCCCATGCCATGGGCTCTGAATTAGGCTGCAGGAGGGATGTGGGCTGTGACTGGAGGCAAAGGGTGAGGCGATGCAGCACATTCCCAGAGGCGGGGTCAGCAGAGGAGGCTCAAAGGGCTAGGCAGGCTATCCAGGGAACAGGAGCCACATGCCAGGCGAGTCCGCCGTGCTCTGCCCGAGATTTGGGCTGATACACTAAGGCTGGTATCCGGGTGACACTGTTGTACTGGGAGAAAGTGCCTTGTTCAGGTACAGCTGTTCTGCTTCCAGGTGGAGCCAGCCAGTGTGGGGTAAGAACGTTTACAGTTGTGACTGCGGGGCCAGGTTACCTCAGCGGGAATCAGTCAGGTTTGTGTGTGGCCAAGGCCTCACTGGGGAAGATGGCTGGGGTGAGGATACCAGGCTGCCTGACAGGAGAGACCAGCACAGGAGTTCAGAGTTCCTTTGCCTTTCGATTTCTAAGCTTTCCCAGGTATGCCCAGCTGGTGTCCCCACCTCGCTGTGTTCCCAGGCTTGCCGCTAGCTTTCCTGGAAGGGTTAGTTTTTCCCTCTGTCTCCAGCTCTGCCTGCTTGTAGCTGAGAACCACATCTCCATGTGCCTCAGCAAAGCGGGCGTTTGAGCTGGCTCCAGCAGGATTTGGATTTGTGCACAAGCTGGGGGTTGAAGGGCATTAGTGTCAGATGCCCACTGACAGGGCCCTTCCAGAAGCCCAGCCAGAGCACATGGCAGGGTGTTGTATGTTATGCTGCGTGGTCAGTATGCTGCCCTGAAATGGGCCTGCTCTCTGCCTTGTCCGGTCAGGGATTTCCTAAGGCTGGTCCTAGCCCTGGTGATCTCAGCCCAGACCTTCAGGGTTTCCCTGCCCCTAGCGTTCATTTTGAACTTACCCTTCATTCCAAGAGCAGCCAGATGTGGACATGCCTGTTCCCAAGGCAGCTGGCACGGCAGTTCCAGAGGAAACAAGCCAGTTATTTTAGCAGCTTTACCAGGCGAGCAGGGAACGGAGCAGAAGGGCCCAGAGGGATACTGTCACCAGTCTGTGCTGAGATGAGGGTCTGGCAATAGCTAGAATCTGGGATTGAGGCAGGGCCAGGGACTGTCCACCCTCAGTCCTTGGGAATGTGGCATGCTGCGCAGAGCTGCTGCGCTGCTAAGAACTGCGTGTCTAGCCCTCCGTGGAAGGATTTTCCATGGGGTATCATAGGGATCATCCTCATGCCAAGCTCTCCTCTGTAGATCGTAAAGCACTTTACACAGGAGGTCAGTGTCATCGTTCCCATTTTACAGATGGGGAAACTGAGGCCTAGGGAGGGGCCAAGGGTCACCCAGCTAACCCAGGAATAGGATCCTGGTCTCCTGAGTCCACGTCTAGTGCTCTGCCCTCTAGACCACGCTGTCTCCAACACAAGTGTCATGTCCAGGGGAGAGGCAGCAGCAGAGCTGCTGTTTGGTGCCAGGCTCCCTGAGGCCTGTGGCAAGGCTGGCAGACTCCCCTGGCCTTGCCCTGCCTGCTGCGAGCAAGGCTCTCGCAGGGCTGCTTGAAGCTGAGGTGCTGGGGCTCACCCAGTTAGGTGGGTTAGGGGCTGTGATCAGTGGGATTGCTGGGGAGCTGAGCCCAGGGTCTTTGACTCCCACCCTTCTGGCCTAGCCAGAGGTGGATTAGGGGTTTGTGGGGCCCTGAGCCAGAGCAAGTGGGGGCCCCTCCCCACCCCTTTCGCCTGCGGTCCCCCCGCCTTGGGGGATTTGAGGACCACCGGACAGGCAGGGGCACCCATTTTTTCCAGGGGCTCCCCAGTTGTCTGAGGCCCCTGGGCATGGGCCCCATTTGCCCAGTGGCTAATTCACCACTGGGCCTAGCCCATGGGGACGCCAAGCAAGGGGTGGGCTGGAGAGTGAGGCCATGCTGCTGGGGATAGCGTGCTCTGTGCCTGTCCCTCTGGGGGGGACTGACAGTTACCACCAGCTGTGGCAGATCCCACGGGTCGTGCTGCTGCCGGATGCCCTGGGCCCAGCCCTGTGATCAGCGTGGGGGGAGGGGAGGCAGAGGAAGGACTGTTCAGTGGGGGGTCTAGGACTCTGGAAATCCCATCTCCCCTCCCCATCCATGCCATGAGGAGAATAGCCCCCCCTCCACCCCAGGGGCATGAGACGGCCATTCCATTGCAGATGGGGGGCCCAGACACTACGGGTGGAGTCGGATAGGTACCTTAGTGAGAGGCCAGCACTCTGGGTGCTGGCTGCATGGGGCTGGGAGCTGCCCCAAGGCTGGGCTTGTCATGGCAGTGGGGATTTGGTCCATAGAGAAGCTGCCTGAGGGGTTTCTCTCTGACTCCTGGCTCCTATGGCTGCCTGGTACGTCAGCGCTAGCTATCCTCAGGCCAGGCAGGAAGCAGGCTGGGATTGAATGGTTTCGGGGGCATCTGCCCCCAAATGTTTTCCCCAGCGAGCTGGCGCACTACGAGATCGGCTTCCAGAGGGAGGGTCCCTTCCGGCCCTGCTTGGAGACCTCCAAGCAGACGTGGCCCCCGTGCTACCGGGCCACGTCCTCTCTCGACCTCTCTTGGGATTGCGAGCGGCGCGCACCAGAGAGCCCAAGCGAGCTGCTCCACCGCCCGCTCCGGGGCAGGGCCTTCTCCGAGAGCCACCTCAACATGGAGCCGCCCAGCGCCCAGGGCCAAGAGAGGAGAGACGCCCCGTTGGCCAAGCTAGATGAGACCTGCCCGATGACTCCGTGTCCAGCCAGAAAGAAAGGGCCGCCCCCTCCACGGCCCCCACCCCCAAACTGGGAGAAGTACAGAACTCGCCGGGCTTCCCACCACCACCTGTACCCACCGGAGCCCGCTGGGCCCAGCTCAGCCTTGCTGGCGGTGCCCCTGGAACAGCCTCACCACCAGGGCGGTGGCAGCATGGAGACAGCAAGACAGCGCTCCCAGAGCCTTCCTCTGGACAAGCTCCCTGGGGACTCGGCCAAGCCCATGGCCGTCTCACAGCCTCGAATGCCTGGCACCCTCCCACAGGAATCCCTGGACACCAGACACCTGCCAGAGCAGGGGAGCAGCCACTATTACTGCCATGTCTCGCCTCGGGAGCCACTGGCACTGGACACGGGCACCAGGGACGCTCCCAGGCAAGTAAACTGGGCCCCCTCACCCCGATGGCGGGGCCCACGGCCTGTCACTGCCCCCTCACCCCCAAGGGGCCTCACTTACTTCAATACCATGATCTGTTCCCTCTCGAGGCTGCTGCTGCACACTGCCCCCGATCCTAAGTGTAGTAATGGGCTCCTGGCGTGCATCCTGTTCTGAGCCTATGTCAGGGGGGTTGCACCTGCCCCACTCTCTGCTGAGGAGAAACCTCGTCCTTGCTGGGAGTCGCTGGTTATGGGGCTGTGCCAAGGGCTGGAGTGCTTTGGTGGGCATCGGCCACGTGTAAGGCAGGTTGCTGAGCTGTCAAGGCCTTGGACCATCCACCACCCCTGAGCTAAAGCAAGTGAGAGGCTGATGGCCCTTGGAGCCGTCTCAGGCCCTTCTGTGCCATCACTCCGTGCAGCTCAGGGGCTGAGCTCAGCACCAGCACCCCACTCCCCTCTGGCACAGGAGCCAGGCTGGCATCCGTGCCCTGCTTGGCAGCAGGTTGGTTAACCAGGCCGGGCTTGTCCCTGGGATGCTGATTCCCGCAGCGCCAGAGGCATGTGGGGACTGAGGAATGCCTCCCCCGGCCCCCATTCAGCTCTCATGTGTCTTACCATGGGAGTTGGGGGTTCCCTTTCCCATGAGCGCTGTCTCTCTGGGGCGGCTTTGGGCTGGCTGTCTGTCCTGCCGATTCCCTGGCCCCTGGTCCATCATGGCTCACAAGAGCCTGGAGCAAAGGGCTGTTGGCCCAGGCTGTCCATGTCCAGGGAGGGTGGATCCCCTGCTGGGCCCGGCCTGATGGCAGGGGCACCTGGAAAGGCCAGAGAAGAAGGGCCGTGCCCCGGGCTGTGTTTATCTCTGCTTGTTTGGTACTTCAGCAGTAGTGAGTGTGACCCTCCACACCTCTGTGGGAGGGATCCTTGGGAGCATCTCAGCCCCCCACTGAAGGGGTGGATGTTGGATCTTTAGCTCTGAGATCCTTTCTCCCAAGTGTCAGAGTAATAGCCGTGTTAGTCTGTATTCGCAAAAAGAAAAGGAGTACTTGTGGCACCTTAGAGACTAACCAATTTATTTGAGCATGAGCTTTCGTGAGCTACAGCTCACTTCATCGGATGCATACCTTGGAAACTGCAGCAGACTTTATATACACACAGAGAATATGAAACAATACCTCCTCCCACCCCACTGTCCTGCTGGTAATAGCTTATCTAAAGTGATCATCAAGTTGGGCCATTCCAGCACAAATCCAGGTTTTCTCACCCTCCACCTCCCCCCCCCCCCCCACAAATTCACTCTCCTGCTGGTGATAGCCCATCCAAAGTGACAACTCTCTACACAATGTGCATGATAATCAAGGTGGGCCATTTCCTGCACAAATCCAGGTTCTCTCACCCCCTCACCCCCCTCCCAAAAACCACACACACAAACTCACTATCCTGCTGGTAATAGCTCATCCAAAGTGACCACTCTCCCTACAATGTGCATGATAATCAAGGTGGGCCATTTCCAGCACAAATCCAGGTTTTCTCACCGCCCCCACCCCCATACACACACAAACTCCCTCTCCTGCTGGTAATAGCTCATCCAAACTGACCACTCTCCAAGTTTAAATCCAAGTTAAACCAGAACATCGGGGGGGGGGGGGGGTAGGAAAAAACAAGGGGAAATAGGCTACCTTGCATAATGACTTAGCCACTCCCACTCTCTATTTAAGCCTAAATTAATAGTATCCAATTTGCAAATGAATTCCAATTCAGCAGTTTCTCGCTGGAGCCTGGATTTGAAGTTTTTTTGTTTTAAGATAGCGACCTTCATGTCTGTGATTGCGTGACCAGAGAGATTGTAGTGTTCTCCGACTGGTTTATGAATGTTATAATTCTTGACATCTGATTTGTGTCCATTTATTCTTTTACGTAGAGACTGTCCAGTTTGACCAATGTAAATGGCAGAGGGGCATTGCTGGCACATGATGGCATATATCACATTGGTGGATGTGCAGGTGAACGAGCCTCTGATAGTGTGGCTGATGTTATTAGGCCCTGTGATGGTGTCCCCTGAATAGATATGTGGGCACAGTTGGCAACGGGCTTTGTTGCAAGGATAGGTTCCTGGGTTAGTGGTTCTGTTGTGTGGTATGTGGTTGTTGGTGAGTATTTGCTTCAGGTTGCAGGGCTCTCTGTAGGCAAGGACTGGCCTGTCTCCCAAGATTTGTGAGAGTGTTGGGTCATCCTTTAGGATAGGTTGTAGATCCTTAATAATGTGTTGGAGGGGTTTTAGTTGGGGGCTGAAGGTGACAGCTAGTGGTGTTCTGTTATTTTCTTTGTTAGGCCTGTCCTGTAGTAGGTAACTTCTGGGAACTCTTCTGGCTCTATCAATCTGTTTCTTTACTTCCGCAGGTGGGTATTGTAGTTGTAAGAAAGCTTGACAGAGATCTTGTAGGTGTTTGTCTCTGTCTGAGGGGTTGGAGCAAATGCGGTTGTATCGCAGAGCTTGGCTGTAGACAATGGATCGTGTGGTGTGGTCAGGGTGAAAGCTGGAGGCATGCAGGTAGGAATAGCGGTCAGTAGGTTTCCGGTATAGGGTGGTGTTTATGTGACCATTGTTTATTAGCACTGTAGTGTCCAGGAAGTGGATCTCTTGTGTGGACTGGACCAGGCTGAGGTTGATGGTGGGATAGAAATTGTTGAAATCATGGTGGAATTCCTCAAGGGCTTCTTTTCCATGGGTCCAGATGATGAAGATGTCATCAATATAGCGCAAGTAGAGTAGGGGCTTTAGGGGACGAGAGCTGAGGAAGCGTTGTTCTAAATCAGCCATAAAAATGTTGGCATGCAGGAAATGGCCCAACTTGATTATCATGCACATTGTGTAGAGAGTTGTCACTTTGGATGGGCTATCACCAGCAGGAGAGTGAATTTGTGTGTGGGGGGTGGAGGGTGAGAAAACCTGGATTTGTGCTGGAAATGGCCCAATTTGATGATCACTTTAGATAAGCTATTACCAGCAGGAAAGTGGGGTGGGAGGAGGTATTGTTTCATATTCTCTGTGTGTATATAAAGTCTGCTGCAGTTTCCAAGGTATGCATCCGATGAAGTGAGCTGTAGCTCACGAAAGCTCATGCTCAGATAAATTGGTTAGTCTCTAAGGTGCCACAAGTACGCCTTTTCTTTCTCCCAAGTGTGTGTTGGATGTTTGAGTCCAAGGGGCTCTTTAACCAAAAATCCCAGCAAGGCATGTCAAGCTCAATGTCCCATCTGCCTGGTTCCTGTGGCCCTGGATGCTGGCGGGGGAGGGTGGGACCTGACTGGGATGGGCTGAGCTCACAGGGACAAATGCTCCCCTCTGCCTCCCCCGACATTGACTGAACCCTCTGAAAGCCAGACCGGGTGCAATTGCCTTTGTGCCCTGCCCCCCAAATGTGCTGTTTTCCAGCACACACTCTTGTCAAACTTGTGGCAAATCCCCTGGGCCAAGGCTGTTCCCAGAGTCCAGCCAGTCCAGAGTCACCCCCTGAGGCAGGGGGGTTCCAGCTCCCCAGAGGGTGTCCTCCAGTACCCCAAAGGCTGGAAGCTCTGGGCCCTGCTATGCTACTTAGGCTCCCTACTAACACCTTTCCTCTGGGATTGTGCCTACAGGCCAGACGGGCCCTCAGAGGAGGTGGTGAAGGAGACGCCGCGGTGGGATATGGGCAGGTCTGTAAAGGACGAGCAATACCAAGTGATCAGCTGGGGCCAGGAGCGCCCGCGGCCTAGCCCCCCCTGCCTGGGTGAGTGGTACTTCCCTGTGAATTCCCGTGGCATGGGCCCATGTGGCAGTTGTGGTTGCTCACTCCCTGCCTCCTCCTGTAGCCGCCGAGGAGGTGGAGTCGGCCCAGGAGAGCGCAGAGGTGGAGAGCTGCCGGCTGGCCAGGCAGCCGCCCTGCCGCATGACCTCAGAGGAGCTGATGCGAGACGTGGCGGGCAGGGATCGCTCCCTGGCAGGTGTGCTGAGCCCAGCCTCTGGCATGGTGACAGCTGCCGAGGTCATGGGAGAACTCTTCTCGGCAGGGGACCGCCGCTCGTGGAAGGACCATTACCAGCAGGACTGGCGGCTGGAGAAGCAGAGTGAGGCTGAGGCTCAGGAAAGGTAGGAGACGTCTTGGCTATTCCTGGCGGGGCTGGATGTTGATGTGTAAGTAGCTCGTGAGTGCTGGTGCAATCACTGGGGCATTAGGGGGTTTCACATGTTCGGTGCAAGTTTCTTCAGCGTGGCTGCAGAGCCCCGAGCAATCACAGCATGTTCCCTCCTGCTGGGCTTTGTCCTTCAGTTGCCCATTTCCCTGTGTCCCCAGCCAAGCAGCCCCTGTGGTTGCTGAACATTGCAGTGTCACCTCTGCACTGTCGCAGTGGCAGGTCGTTCCATGTGGCCTTGGGGACGGGGCCACCCCAGTGCGCCCATACTGGGGTGCCAATCATAGAATCATATAATATCAGGGTTGGAAGGGACCTCAGGAGGTCATCTAGTCCAACCCCCTGCTCAAAGCAGGAGCAATCCCCAACTAAATGGCATGGGGACACTGCAGGGATCCCCCTGCGCTCTAAATGGGGGGGGGTGAATTTCACACCCGCTCCCAGGGCTCAGGCAGCTGGCAGGTGCTGGGCTGGACCCTGCAGAGACAGAGACGGGCATGGGACCTGGGCATAGGCAGCCAGCAGCGCTTTGCTGCTGCTCTAACGCAGGAGGCAGAACAGCGAGAAAGTGCCGTCTCTGTGCTGACACCCACCCGCACCATGTGGCACCAAAAGAGACCGCTGGGGGTCTGGCCAAGTCCAGCTCCTGCTCTCCTGAGGCTGCTTAGCAAACCCATGGGCTGTCACAGGCATCTCAGCCTCCAATGTTTAACCCCTCTTCCCCATCTGGCAAAGTGCAGCTCCTGTCCCCAAGCTGGAGCTGAGGGACTGGGGGATCTGGTGGCCTGAGATTGTATGCTTAGGGTTCAAAGAGCCTAGTGGAGTTAGGAGCCATTAGGATTCAGGTGCAGATTCCCCTATGTCCCTGCCAGTAACTTCCTCATTCTACAACTGGGAGCTCAGCTTCCCTCCGCTCTGTACTGTGTCCGACCCCGTGTGCCATATGTGTACAGGGAGGAGTTCCAGCCCATCTCCCCTCCCCTGGGGGGCACCGTCAGCCCCACCTCCTACTCAGCCTATTACAACACCTCGGCGGGCAAGGCTGAGCTGCTCAACAAGATGAAGGAGTTGCCGGAGGTAGCAGAGGGGACCTCAGAGGAGGAGGTGGATCACGAGCTAGCGCAGAAGAAGGTAAAGTGGGGCAGAGGTTATGTGGATTGTGCACTGTCTCTAGGACCTGATATTGCCAGGAATAGAACCCAGGAGTCCTGACTCCCAGCCCCTCCTGCTCTAACGACCAGCCCCCACATCCCTCCCAGAGCCGGGGATAGAACCCCGGAGTCCTGACTCCTGAGCTCCCCTGCTGCACCTCTCATGAACATGGCACCTGACATGACCCCTGGGTTTTAATCGCCTCTCCCGCCCCCTGCCCCACATTTCTCTCCCTCCGCAGGCACAGCTCATCGAGAGCATCAGCAGGAAGCTGGCGGTGCTGCAGGAGGTGCAGCGGGGCCTCCAGGAGGACATCAACGCCAACACAGCGCTGGGGGAGGAGGTGGAGTGCCAGGTGAAGGGCGTCTGCAAACCCAATGAGTTTGACAAGTTCCGCCTCTTCATCGGAGACCTGGACAAGGTGGTGAATCTGCTGCTGTCGCTCTCGGGGCGCCTGGCCCGGGTGGAGAATGCCCTCAACAGCCTGGACCATGAAGCCACCGAGGATGAGAAGGTATGCGGGGAGGATGCTCTGGGGAGGGGCACAATCCTCTGTATTGGCATGCACATGCCAGCTCGTCCATGTCACCGCATTAGCCTGGGCACCAGGACAGTGGGTCACAAGTAGCAACAAAGGTCTGATCCTGCCAGAGCCCCAGGAATCTGTCCTCCTCCATCCCCTTAGCTGACATAAATGCCCTATTCCAGAGGTGCCTGCAACAGTGCACAGCAACGTTCTATAGGCAGAAGTGGGGCAGAATCCTGTGTTCAGCTGACCCACAGGATGAATTTCTGGGGCAGACTGTGGTTACCCAGGTTAAAGTGTGGCGGGGACACCAGGGCTATGGGTCAAGATTTAGTAGTGCCTTGACCCCAGTGCTGCATTAGCAAAGCACAGGTCAGACAGGTGCTCTGTCTCTGTTCAGGAGAGGCTGTGGGTCAGGAATGAGGGGCATTGGCAGAGCTTGTGGGGGGTGGAAATCCAGGGCTGGGGTTGCAGGGGGCTGTGGGTTGAAACTGAGATTCTGGCAGTGCATGAAGGGGAAGCTTCCCCAGATTTCTGTGCTGTCTCCCCTGACATCCAGTTTCCTCCAATATTTTTAAATTAATTATGTGGCCTGGGTACTGTCCTGTTGTATTGCGCGGGGGAGTGTCTCACCTGGGCACTACTCTGTTATGTGTGCATGTGGGGGTGGGGGAGGGTGTCTCACCTTGGCACTGCCGTGGGGGGGGGGAGATCTCACCTGGGCACTGCTCTGTTGTGTGTGGGGGGCTCTCACCTGGGCACTGCTCTGTTGTGTGTGTGGGGGGCGGGAGAGGGTGTGTGTCTCACCCAGGCACTGCTCTGGTTGGGGGGTGTCTGACCCCCCAAGTCTCTGGTGGGTCTGCCGTGTGCATTCACTGCTCCCTGCTCTGCACCCCCAACAGCTGGCGCTGCTGGAGAAGAAGCGGCAGCTGACGGAGCAGTTGGAGGATGCCAAGGAGCTGAAGGAGCATGTGGACCGGCGAGAGAGGGCCGTGTTCGGCACCATCTCGCGCTCCCTGCCGGCCGAGCAGCTCCAGGACTACCAGCACTTTGTCAAGATGAAGTCAGCCCTCATCATCGAGCAGCGGGAGCTGGAGGAGAAGATCAAGCTGGGGGAGGAGCAGCTCAGGTGTCTCAGGGAGAGTCTCCTGCTTGGGCCCAGAGATTATTAGTGCCAGCACTGCACTCCTGGTGGCCACGTGGCCATGGTCTCGTCCACAGTCATGTGGCCTAGAGCTGACGGCCACGGCCTTCTCATGGGCTGCTGCTGGAGGACCCTGGAGCAGAGAGGGTTGTGTGGGAGTGTCCCGCCACCTCCCACAGCCTCCCAGCTGGTGACCCAGGTGAATGGTGCCAGCACACGTCGTTCTCCTCCCTCCCGACCAATGCACCAATTCAGTGGGAGCCTATGTGCCATCCAGCTGGCAAGATCCAGCAGGGCGCTGGCACAAATAGGGCGTTCAGCACTTCCCAGGGTGCCACGGCCTGAAGCCCCAAAGAGGGGGAGGGTGCACTAGTCATCTCCTCCAGCATCGACCTGCCACGGGCCGGGTCACCAAAGCCAAGCAAACAGCGCTCCGGGTGGGAAGGGCTCTGCTGGAGAGCGGCCTGGGATTTCTGGAGCTGAACTGGAAGCTGAAGAAAACTGGACTCTTCAACACGCCAAAGGGGATGTTGCTTTCGCTTCCCCAGCCCTTGCCAAGGTTTGCAGCAGGATCTACATTTCACCGGGAGAGCCCTGCAACTGGCCCCTGCTGCTGCCTGCTCAAAGATCCCCTCACGTGGTGCCTATGGGGGTACCAGCAGGGGGGGGCAGAGGGCATTGCTGCCCCACTGCCATGACCCCAGTTAGCACGACCAAAGAGGGTCTCATACCAGTGCCTGGTCGCGCGCGCGCGCGTGTGTGTGTGTGTGAGAGAGAGAGAGAGATCCCTGCGAATGTTATTTATTTTTGTATTTTAAATTGCTTTTTTCCTATGGAGGGGCCTTGTGGGAATGGGGAGAGGCATGCGGGAATGGGGAGAGGCACATGGGGAGGGGGAGGAGCCAGGGACCTTAGCTCGGGGGAGAGCCTGTTCCCAACGCTACTTTCCTGCCCAGCCCTGGCTTTGGGCCCATGCGCTAGGACTGTGCATTCCACCCAAAGCAGGGCCTGGAACCAGCAGCCCCCAAGGGCCAGGGAATGGTATGAGCCTCTGGCTGGCTGCCAAGCTGCCTGGCTCTTCCTCAGCCCTCACTGTTTTGGGTTTGAGGGGGTCAGGGGGGCTCTGAACATCCCTTACTTCCCACCAGGTTCAGGATGTTCTTAACCAAAACCTCCCCCTCCTGCAGCCAAGGCCAGCTCCTTCATCAGCTCCACACCAGGAGTGGGCACTACCCCCCCCAGTGCGGGTCCCTCACCTGGGGTTTAGCTGGGGAGGCACTGCTCCCTCAGTGCAGGCCCCTCGCCTGGGGTACAGCTGAGAGTCACTGTCCCCCTGGGCGGGCCCCTTGCCTACCATTTGTTCTGAGTCCATTCCAGGAGGGTCCAAGAACCTAGACCAGGATCACCTGGTATCAGACTCACACTCAGATTCTGCTGCAGTTGCGGCTCATTCCCAGCTGTTGCCTCTGTTGCCATGTGGGGCGGTGTGTGGGGCAGTGGCTGGGGCATGGGAATGGAAGCCCAGGACTCCTGGGTTCTCTTCCCGTCTCACCTACTGATTGCATGTGACTATATGTAGTTCCCTGTCTGTGCCTCCATCCCATCTGCTGTACAATGGGGTGATGCCACCTGGGCATCTTGGCAAGGAGCTAGGAGCTCTGTGTAGAAACTCCCATATCCCAGACTGTCCTGTCTCTGATAAGCTCAGACACCTAGTGCCAAGTGGCCACCTGCCCTGGCTTTCAGTCCCAGCGTCCACTTTTCCCTGGGGCATGTGGGGTCCGGATACTCGTCCGTTTGTCCATGGGGTAGCTTTAGGCGCCTTTGGCCAGCAGCTCTGGTGGCTTTGGTGTGTGATGGGAGGGTCCGGGCCCTGCTGTCACACATGCTTACACTAGGGCACTGACTCTCCTTCACCGGCCTCAGCACCTGTCCCATTTGCACCTGCCCTGCTCCTGTTTCCATGGCGGAAGCCTCCCGGTGCCCTTGCACAGCGCAGGTTGGTGCAGGTGTAGCACTGCACCTGCCCTGCTCATCCCATCCCCTTGCTTTACCCCCCCAGCTCTGGACCCGGTGCCACCACCAGGCCTATCCAGGGGCATCTGCTCCCCATGTCCTATTGCAGAAGTGGAGTGGAGTTCCATGCCCTAGTGGAATGGGTTCTGGAGTGTGCCCCCAACTTGGGTGTGTGATTGCTGATGCAATGGGCTGCTGCAGGCGTCCCAGTTGGGTACCCCCTTGTCTTGCTGGTTGCCACTCTCTGTAGGAGCTGCTCTGGCTCTCCAGGGTACCTTATAAACACATTATACCACATGAGCAAGCAGCTCAGGGATGAGAGACAGCAGGAGAAAGCACTAACCCAGGAACCAAACCCTCTTTCTGCCCTCTCTCTGTCTGGGCATTTAGCGTGGCCTAAGCAGCCAGATCCCAATCTGTCCCAGGTGCAAACCCCATGCCATTGTTCTGGGATTTACCTCCCTGAGAGCTGCACCTGGACTGTAGCTATAGAGACATGGTAGCATCCTATCGTTCTGTAGAAAGAGGTTCAGGCTGGGATTTCCTGGCATTAAGGACTTGAGCTGGTCTGTTCCTCCTCGGCCCCCCCACTCCAGCACTTCCGGCTGTAAAGGGTTAATCACTTCTTCCCCTAATACACATGGCTTCTAAGTAACCAAAGGAATTTGCTGGGGATCTGCCACAAATTCTCAGCCCCCGACATCCTCTTCCTCTCCATTGTGTTTGGAACAATAGTCTAAACCCACTAGGCGCTTAACTCTCTCAGTGCTGTGCTGGGCATGGCCTACGCCTGGGCTCAGAGCCCCTGCCCTGCTATCTGTGATCTCAGTAACACCAGCCTGCCTAGTCTATTACTACAGAGAGGAGGCTGGTGCTACCTCCCAGCTGGCTCCTGACAGGACGGGCAGAGCCCCTGGGAACTCTCTCTTTCTGGCAGGTCAGAGGGACTGTCCCTCCCCTGGGAGCTGAGTAGGAACCTGACCAGTGGGCTGCCTCTCCCACTAGCAGCCCCTGGGGAGATCCCTGCTGTAGCTCTGCAGCTGGGTGTGGGGGGCACATTCCCAGAACACCAGGGATGCCAGCCCTGCTGCAAATGCTAGTGTGGGGGTGGAGATGGATGGAGCATAGGAGGAGCTCTCTGGAGACAGGAGTGTGACAGCACTTGTTACCATGGGCAGGAGCTGTGTCAGGCAGAGCCCATGCAGGGGGCACAGCTCTCCATTCACCATGGGTCAGAGAAAAGTGCAAGGGTCTGGCCACAGTTCTGGGCTGCTGCTGGTCTGAGGTCATGGAGCTAAACTGGGAGACAGCCTGGCCCTGCCCTTACTCTGATCCTAGAGTGTTTCCAGTGTCCTACCTCCCTGCCTGATGCATTTCCAGCCTCTCCCTGGCGTTGTGCCATCCAGAGAGGTTGGGATAGGCTGATGCAGGTTGTGTGCCCAATGGGACTGTACAGACCAGGGCTCTGTACTACTGGAGAGGTACTGAGCCCTCATTGCATTAGGGGTTGTGGGTGCTCTGTGCCCAATGGGGATCAGGCCCCATGCCGGCCTTCTAGTGCATTTCCCTTCCCACTCAGCTGCAGGGCATGCAGTGGGCAGCTAGCTGTAGCCAGACACCCTGTCACGTGCCATTCCCCATGTGATCATGCACCCAGTGAGATACCTCAGCCAGGAGTGGGCCAGGGACAGGCATAAAAACAGACATAAATTGAAAATAACCTAACCCTTTGGTGATATAAAAATAGCACTTAAAAAGGGATGGGTCATTTGCTTATGACTCATCTGCGTCATACTCTTTTTAAGGGGAAGTTTTTGAGCTAGTGATTGTGGGAATAGCTAAGACACTAAACTCTTCTAGTGCTCCTTAACACTAACTGAAACTATGCTAAACTTTTGATGAGTGTTTCTCCACCCAGGAAGAGATTGTAGCAAGGACTGGATGTTTTCAGTGTGCTCATGGCAGTAAGAGCCAACCCTGCAGAAGTCTCTCTCGCATCCAGTACTAAAACCTTGAAAAGAAATTCGACATAAGCTTTTTGCTGAATTTGCACGTGATCTTTTCCAATCAAGCCTTGGAACCTGAATAAAACTGGCTATAGCCGAAGAGGAAATAGCTGCTTTAGAAAAATAAACAACTGATTTCCAAATAATTCAGGTTGAGTAATTACAATGTTATGTGAAAATGCAGCAAAGGGAGCTCAGCATTTCAGTGCAGGGTATCCTGTTCCCTCCAGGAGCTGATTAGAGCCAGGGGATGAGAAAAGACTCTTGAAATAATACAGGAATATTGAACTGGAAATCCTCATTGTTTCCATGCTGGGCCCTGGATTTCTGACATGAATCAAATTCCTGGAATCCTTTCTGAGCAATTAGCAGATGCGATGTTACAGCCCCTTTTAATGAGTCTCCTCCCCCAGAGTGTTTAGAAATGGAACTGGGACGTGGCACCACTTAACAATTATCTCCAACACCCCTTACGTGCAATGATGAAGCCTCCTTAACACTACACAGATTTAAAAGTTCTGCTGTACTTTTCACCCTCTAGGATGTTGGACCCATTGCACTTCACTCATCTAAGACAGTGGAACTAGCCTGGTCAAGATCACACACTGTCCGTTTCACTTCCTGATTTTCATGCACTTACCCAAGGCTGCCGTGATTTGAGTTTCTAACACTACAGGGAAGGTTAAATCCACCCAAAGCCTTTGGAGCCTGAAAATGAATCATTTATATGCCCAGAGCCCAAGACGCACCCACATGTACAAGCTAGCAAATGTGATTGTTTATTGCATGATGTCAGACCACATAGGCCCCAGCCAGGCCTTCTGGTTAAATCTTCGTCATGCTAATTGTTTCACCTCATCCCCCTACAGCCTGTCCTTTCCCCATGTGGTGTATATGAGACGGGCTCTTGTCCTAGGTCTCCTGCCTTGCCCTGAAGGCCCAGGAAACGTCAGGCCATGGGGTGCTGTGCCCCACAACACAATTCCCATGCCATAGACTTGAGCCGCTGGAGGTGTAGCTCAAAGTGTCCTGCCGCTGGCCTATGGCTTCCCTATGGGTGTTGGGAAGAGTTGCGGTCGGTTATCAGCCAACAGGCATACGGGTTCCTTTGCTGACAGCCTGGGGCAGCTGTGTTCAGTGGGTGTAGTGGCTCGGCTGCTGGTTGGTTTCTGATCCTGGCCCGTGGCTTGACAGCCCCAGGCTCCAGTCCCTGCAGTGCACATGCAGGCCCCGGGGCTTGGAAAGGGCTCTCCACTGGCTTTCAAATGGCACTTTTGCTACTTCCTGCTGCACCCCAGGCCCTGGCCACAGCCCCATGGCTAGCTCCCCCCCGCCTCCATGTGCAGTTGTATTCAGCACAGGAGCCTGTCATGGAAAGGCCTTCAGATACCCCTAACTAAAAGCCCTGGTGGGTGGGGAGCCTTATTTCAATTGCCCAGTAAAAAGCCACACGCAGGGGCTCACCCCCATGGCTACTGCTCTGTGCTGCGATGCGGGAGCCCCTGGCCAGCAAGGTAGGGTGAGCAGATGTCCTGATTGTATAAGGACAGTCCCGATATTTGGGGCTTTTTTTTTATATGGGCTCCTATTACCCCCCACCCCCACCTCGATTTTTCACACTTGCTATCTGGTCACCCTACAGCAGGGACTAAGAGTGCTGTCCAAGTGGGGAGGGAAAGTGGATCTGCAGAGCCCCTGCTGGCCAGTGGGCAGCCTACAGGCTTTAGCAGGCAGGGAGGGGTGGGAAAGGTGCTAAGGAAGGCCAGGAAGCCCTCCCTGTGGCAGTGAGACAGGAGGGAAGGAACCTTCTCAGTGCTTGGAATCACAAATGTGGGTGTTGAGCAGCCCGGAGCCCCCACTGGTCATGTGCTGCCTGGTCTCCATGGGTGTAACCCTGACTGCCAGCATCAGCTGTACTGTTATAGTCCTGAAGCCTCTTGCCTGACGTGCAAGGCCCAGCCCAGGGATGTGCCAACTGTGTATAATGGGGTTTGTGCCAATGTTGTATATTTTGTGTACCATTGTGCTTCCTACACACTAAAGGCGCAGTGGGCTCTGTACAGCGTCCCAGAGCGGTGTTTTTTACAATGTTGTGTGTATTTTCTAAGCTGTTGATTACTGAACTTGTTAGTGTCCCCTAGCTCTCTGGCCGCGGGTATGTATCCCCACCTGGGGAGCACAGGGAGGCGAGGGACACGCTGCATTAAACAATGCTAAGGACAATGAGCCAGTGGGTGTCGTGTGATCGTTCATGCCGCTGCTGAGATGTGACAGCAAGAAGATTGAGGCCGCTCTCTACCGGGAGCCGTTTGCTGGTGTAGCTCTGCTGGTGCCCTAGCATGCCTAGCGGGACCCAGCTTAGCCTGGCCAAGCTGCCTGCTCACTGGCATTGCTTATGGCAGCCATGCGAAGGGTAAAAGCACAGCTGGGGCTGAACTAGGGCCTTTGCTGGCAGTACTGTGGCACTTGGCTCACACCTCTGAGCAGCTCAGCCACGCTGCCAGGCGTACCTGGGCTTCAAAATGACCTGGGAGCCTAATGTGCTGAGCTGCTGTTGGCTCCTCAGGCCTGGGCACGTTTCTGAGCCCCCTCATGCAGCCCTGCAGCTGGCCCAAAGGGTGGCTACTCACTGGTGGCCCACAGGAGCCAGCAGCTCATGTGAAATGAGTGTGACAACCTCTGTCTAGGGAACACTGGGCTTGTCAGCTGAGGATCAGGCTGGGAGGGAGATGGAACAGACTGTCCAGCAGGTTACACTGGCTCCCTCTTCAGTGGGGCCTGCTACTCCCTCAGCTAGCGGGCTCTGCATTGCAAAGAAGAGGCCCTGGTGCCTGCCTGTGCAAGGAGCTGGGGGCGGGGGATTGCTGCATGGAAGTGATTGCTGCGGCTGCTATGTGGGGCAGTTGTGACCTGGATCTGTGTGGGGAGAGCTAGGAATCTTCACCTTTATTTCTAGTCTCAATTTGTCTGGCTTCAGCATCCAGCCAGTGGCTCTTGTTCTGCCTTTGCCTGAGAGAGATGAAAGAGCTGAAGCAGTAGCACTGGCCCCTGGGCGGATGGTGGGAGCAGGACTCTGCTGGCTCGCATGGCCACAGAACTTTTAGCTCAAGTCCCCAGGCAGAATCTTTACTCTCCAAAGCATCATGCCCATCTGTGGCACAACACCAGTCCTGACACACAGCCTGGCCATGCGCAAGGCACAAGGAACCCAACTGCATTCTGATCCCAGGGTGCTTGTATAAAGGCCCCCTTTTTCCTTGTCGAGGGGCTGGGCTTGCTCTGGGGTCCGTGCAAGATGACTCCCCCCAAAGCCTGAGTAGCTGTGCACAGCATAGCCACATTGGTCGCTGGAAGTGTAACCCACACGCCTCCTGGGTGTGGCGTTCTGTCCCAGGTAGCGGCACTGAGACCACTTAAAGAGAGAGAAATTGAGTCTGCTCTACAGCCTTTGCTAACTGCTAGTTGGCTTTTCGCTCAGGGGGTAGAGGCTCACGCACTAAGCTCCAGAGGCCCCAGGTTCGATCCTGCCCACCGATAACTGGGGTCTGTCGGTGTTACAAAAGCACTGGCCGCCCAAAGGCAGATTAACCTGTTCTAAAGCACCAAAGCAGCTGCTACACTGAGTGGGCACGAGGGGCATCCCACTCCTGTCAAATCTGCTCTTGGAGACAGCAGCTCAGTCACAGCGACAGGTCTGCTTCGGCAGTGACTAAAGCCCATGTTGCAGCCACTAGATGGCACGCTCGGCCTGAGGCTGAGCCCCGCTAGCAACCTGAGCAGTGGCCCTTTTCTCTCTGCTACCCAAAGCCTGGCCTTGCCGAGCCCCAGGCTGGGCTGTGCTGCAGGCAGCAGCGGAGTTGGTCTCTGGGCAGCTGCCTGTTTGACTGCTGGGTGTCCAGCCAGCCAGGCGCTGCCCCCGCGGGCCCTTGCCTTGGAAGCTTTGCGTGGAGCTGAGATCTGTGCGTGAGGCTAGTCTCACCCCTTCTCCCTCTGCATGGTGCAGCCCAGCCCTGCTCCTTTCTCTGCTCTAAGTTACCCAGAATTAAACAGCCCAGCCTGGCTGTGGCACAAGCCGGAGAGATGGTGGCTGTGTGACCATGTTGTCACAGTTCAGGGCAATTGCACCTGTATTCCCCCTGCTAGGCCTGTGAGGGCACCACTGGTCTTGCGACTTCCCTGCAGCTGCCTCTCTTGGGCATAAGGTTGCCAACTTTCCAATTTCTTAAAACTGGAGACTACAGCCCCCCTCCCCTGTTCGCTTGCTCCCCCCTCTTCCCCCGGGACTCACCTGCCACCTACAGAGCTGGGGTGGGAGCTGCAGCGGTGGCTGCTCATGAGATGCAGGTAGGAGTCAACCGTGGCTGAGAAGGGGCTGACATAGGTTGATGGCCCAGCAGTGCTCCCAGTCCCCACAACCTGGGCCAGGCTGGCAGCAGCATTTGCAGGCAACAATCGTGGGGGTGCGGGGGTGTTATCTGTCTGTCTGTCTGTCTGGACAAGCCAGGCTGGGCTGGGGGAAATGCCCTTCCCTCCCCACGCTCTGTGTGTGAGCTGGAGGCCAGGCTCGCAATGAGCCGCATACCCTGAGCCTTAAGGGCGCTGCTCCCTTACCCTCCCAGGCCGGGCTGAGCCCCCATCCAAGTGGCACTGGTGCAGCAAAGTTTCCTCTGCCCCGGGGAGAAGCTCCCTCCCCACATGGGATCCCCAGCTCAGTGCTGATCATGTGTGTCTCAGAGCCCCTGGAGTGGCTTCCCATGATGATGGGATGTTTCTGCAGCAGGCAGGGAGGGGCAGAGCTGGGGAACAGAGAGGAGCATGGAAAATAGGACAGGATCCAAACACAATCCCACAGCGTGGATTGGCACCCACCTGGCTCACAGCCATGCTGCCCCCACTCTCTGCAAGTGCCCCACTGCGGTCTCACATACTGCGGAGGGTGCTGCCTGGCCCCCCCATTCTGGTGTCCCTGCAGGCAGTAACTGGACTTTTGGTGTACAAGTCCCCTTTTGACTGGACTTTCTGGTCAAAAACTGGACATATGGCAACCGTACTCGGGCTGCAACCCGCATCTCTCTCTCTCCTGAGTGGGAGTTTTCCAGGCTGCACAGCTCCCTGCCAACCCCGTGAATTCCCCAGCAAAGGCAGGCTGCCTAAGCCGCCTGTGTTATGTCTCTCCTCTGAGACAGTCAACAGTGCATTGCCCCAGGTAAGCTACCACCCCGCTCTTGCTAAGCAAGGACAGTTATTGGTAAGGTACAAAGCATCCCAGAGAACCCCACACACATTCTAAGAGCCTTACCAGAGCTCATCCCCCCAGCTCCACCGGGGCTGTCATGCCTCGCAACCCTTCCCTAAGGATTGGGGACCCACTGGCCAGAGGGGCCTGTCCATTTGCTGTATCTGAATCAAGGCACCAAGGCAGTTTGAACTCAGGCTATTTACGCAGAAGTCCTTTCTTTGGCTGTCAGGCTCTGGAGAATCCCATGTGACCCAGCAGGTGTGATCCTGGCCAGGTGCTGGTACCTCCGTGGTTACAGCCTGAATGAATGTGCCTAATCCTCTCTCACTGTTCCTAATTCTTGCAGGGCTGTGGGCCCTCTCCCCCATGGCAGACAGACCCTGGCCACAATGATACAGAAACTTCTTTCAGTGAGGTTTGGCCAGGCTATTGCAGGTGGTTCCCAGCTCTGTCACACATCATAAACAACACTATAGTTTTGCATGCACAGGGGGCAGAGCTAAAGACACCAGATGTGCTGCATTTTGCCTGTTGCAGCTCCCTCTAATGCAGGGGCATGTTCCATTTGAAACGTCCCTTGTGTCGTGGCTGGCTTGGCATTTGCAGCCGGTGCAGAGAACAGTGATCAGGTCCCACACAGCTGTACTAAGCCAGCCATCACTCCCCAGGGCAGCCAGGGGCACCAGATGTCCATCCCGGTGAGGCTTAGGCTCCCATGATGATACTCTTGGCATCAAACAGTGGTTTTCCTCTTGCTTCTCAGCCACCACCCCCAGTGCAGGGACATTCAAAATGGGTTGATAACGGGCACATCCAATGCTGGTGTGCCATGAGCCAGCAGCCTGCCCTCCCCCAGGGCTGTATAAACCTTACCCCACAGACCTGCCCACATGGGTCAGGGGAGGAATATCTACAATGTGAGCATAGTTTGCATCATACCTGTGGGACACCTGCAATGCGAGCAACACCCTGCACATCCTGGGGCTGCCTCCTTCAGTGAGCAGATGCTGCAGCAGCTCCCCCTGCTGGTGGCTGCTTCTGGCCTGGGCGCCTCCCCCAGCACTGTGCTTCCTGACTGCCTGAACTGCCAGCCTCTGTCCCTCAAATGCTGCCCTGCTCTCGCAAAGCCCCAGCTCAGCCCCCAAGCTGCAGGATGCGGCCATTCTCCACAGCCAAAGCTCAACTCTGTCACCAAGTGGCCTGGCCAGGTATAGCTAGGCTGTGCCCAGGGTAGCACTTCCCAGTGCTTGGGGTTGTATTTGATGTGCCAAGTTATCATCCTTGTCCCTCTCTGATGCCTAGCAGCTCTCCAGGTAGCATTCTGCTCTCTCTACCCCCACTTTCCTGCCTCCAAAGGGCCAGGCAATAAAGATGCATGAACTCCCATGTCTACACTACACCCAGGAGAGGGAGGAGGGATCATGCCTTGCTCTACACAGGGTTAGATGGTACAAACTGAGGCCAATGGAGCAGTGCTGATTGACAACAGCTGGGGAGCTTGTCCCAGTGATCCAATGGAGCGCTGTTGATTTATAGCAGCGGGGGCGCTGGCCCATAGTCCTGCCCAATGACTTCTCCTTCCAACCAGGGCACCCCGGGCTCCCTGCAGGGAAGCTCCGTGAGCTGGAGGCCAAGTGTAACTGTAACCTGCCCCACAGGGCAGTCCCATGGTATGCTCCTGGCCCAGCTCCCAGGGACAGACTCATGGCACTTTCAGATGGAGAGAGATTGGACTCTGAAACCAGGTGCCCTAGAAATGCTCATGTGCAGCTGCCTCAACCAGGTGCCCATAGAATCTGCCAGCTGCCACTCAGCGCAGCGTGGCATGTCTTGGTGCAGATGGGCAGGTGCCAGCAGCGATGCAGGCACAAACTGGAATGGGGCCTCTGGCAGCAACACACAAATCCCCAGGGGCTCTTGAGCCTGGCTAAAGGGGCCACTTGTGGGCATTTCTAGGGGTGGGCTCCTTTCCCCCCAGAATGCACCA